CCCCCCAAAACCCCAAAACCCCAAAACCCCTACTTTGATACATTTTAATGAATTTTCTCCAATATGTAATAATATAAAATGAATCCATTTGGTAGTTTTGAAGACTGTAATATAGTAGAAGAAGAAAAACTAGCCTCTGGTTCTATAAATATTCCATACATTAAGACTCAATTGGAAAGAATGACTTTCCAGTGAAATGTATGTGAACGCCAGTATCAGGCATTCTCAATAGCGCCAGCTTGTCCAAAATGTAAAAGCGAGAATAGTCGTGAACCGATAGAAGAAGAAAAGAAAGGAGTCCTGCAAAATTTAGATCATGAATTGTCAGAAAGTTATGATATAGAGAGGGCTCCACCTTTTCCTACCTTAAATAGGCTTATTAGAAATGACCCATTGAGAAATAATAGAGACCGAGGAAATGTTATTCTTAATATTAGTTTTGGCTATTCTGAAAGTTTTGAAGATAGTGGAGGAGAAGAAAGTGTTTCAAGCTATTCAAATAGCTCAGAAAATATCCTCATGAGACGTCCACCTTGGTCTCCTCCTGATAGTAGTAGATCTATTAATTTGAGAGAAGCTTTACCTGGCAGAGGAAGAGAACTTCATCAGAATTTAATAGAAAGGCATGAAGCTGGTGATCGATTGAGAGGGTCTTTTGGGAGGAGGCCAGGATTCATTGGTTTTCAGTCTAGACGAGAAATTGGTAACCTTAATAAAAGAAGTAAAGCTGCTATTAAGAATTTGAAGTCTATAAGAATAAATGAAAAACATTGAAGCGTAAATGATGAAACTGGCAAATTCGAAGCACCTTACTGCTGTATCTGAACAGATGAAATGAAGATTAAAGCCGATAAATTGCCATGAGATCACCTATTCCATTCGGAATGAATCATTGAATGGTTAAATAAACATCCTATTTGCCCTCTCTGCAGGACTAGTTTTAACTAACATAAATTTGCAAAAATTCATACAGTAAACAACAGATTAATCAACTTGTTTAATACCTAAAGGGGTTTTGGGGTTTTGGGGTTTTGGGGTTTTGGGG